TCAAAAGCAGTACTTAGGGCCGTCCACATCGCAAGGTCAGACAGAAATTCTCGTACCAAGAAGGTTGTATTATTTTGTTATCGTTCTAAACATTATTAAGCCACTAAAATTTTCGAAAAAAAAAAAAAACATTTGATTAAAAACACTATTCGTTTGTGCTACTGTTATCATCATGCATAATTTGGAAACAAACATGCGCTGCACCGTCTGTCTGTAAAAATCTTAGTCAACATGGTTCCCGAAAAATCCCGGGATATCCCGATGAATCCCGATTTGATGCTTATCCCATGAACTGTACTGTGTTATCCCGAAAAAGATTGAAACTGTCTGACAAAACGACAAAATGTAATGTCAGATCCATGTTTATATAAACGTAAACAAACGCCCCCTCCCCCGGCCCCGCACCCACATTACAAAGTCGACAATAGTTACAGATGAACACAATTCTGTTTACTTTATTTTCAAAACGGCAGCAAGCCTAAATCTCTATACATACGAGATTCTATCAAGTCAGGAGCTAGTGTAAATTATGAGTTGTTTTTTTTTATTTAGAGCCGGCGGTGACATGCAAAAATTACACAAAGTCGCCGGCGTTCTGTGGAAATCTGCAGTCCTAATTGTGGATATTGAACCCCAAATCCCAATGCAATATTCTCTACTCGAGACTGGTATTCATATGACCGTATTTTACGAAGAAAAATGAAAACTGACCGCTGACATTGATCCACCGATCTCTTCTCGTGTCATACAAGGGCGGATGCCCATATTTGGAAATCTCGGGTGTTCCGTGCGTAGCGCTAGGGTCATTGACCGCGGTTATCGAACACGCTGTTCCATTGTTCCATGGTTGTTCGAATGTTCCAAACGCGTTCTTTTTGTTCGATTTTTGGCTTAAAATGCAACTTTTTTCACCCATTTTTTGCCAATAAAATCATTTTCTGACATCTATGTTGGCCAAAATGACCAAGGTTCAATGTCTAACGTACCAACCTACCAGCATGCTGAATTTCATTTTCCTCCAAGCTCTAATTACGAAAATATCTACGATTTTTAGGTGTTTGGAGAAGAGGAAGAGGAGGAGGAGGAAATGAGCAAATATAATATGTTTTCCTTCGGTAAACATAATTAAGATCATGCAAACCGCTGTGCAACAAGTTGCAACAAAATATGCACCAAAAAGCAACCCACGTGCTGTCAACCTACTCTGTCCGGATAAACAGACACACAAACCCTCAGCTCAGTCACCCGAAAGTAAAAAGAATTGCAACACCGGGTTATGAACAACAAGCCTGGAACGGCCTGTCCTTGGTGCTGAAACGCAGGTTCATTAAGCTGGCGTCCCTGCACTGCCGGTCGTATCTTTAATCGTCAATCAAAGGTCGCAGAATTTCAAGGCCCGTCAGGGAGTTGAGATTATTTCTGCTTGAAAATCTACCCTGCCACAGTGTACGGGGTTCGGTGACCTGCGAACATCAGCCGAGCCTACATCGCACTGATCGAGAGGACACCGGTCGTATGGGCTGCCGAAAATGTACCTTTGAGCTCACAGACTCGTCGGGCGCGCTGTTTTATTCTCTTACAGCTGTGTGACGCCGGCTTTACACGTCCGTTAGCTTTGCGTATTCATCAACTCAGTAGATGACGAGATTGCGATGATTCTAAACAGTATCATTATATCGATAAGGGGAGCTGGCGGGCAAGCCGATATGCAGCTGGCCAGGCCATGGTTATTCCTGGGTTGGGGAACTCGTCATACTTATATCGATCAGCATTGCTACAAATGCCGGGACTGGTGTAGAGGACCTACAATATTATCTATAATCAATACTATTGGGGAGGTAATAAAAGAGTGGCCCTAAGCTTGGTCCCGGTAATGAATTCAAATAGATTTATTACGATGATGTGTATTTCAAAATCTATAATCGCTATTCAGTCAGTTGTATTCTTTAGCTACAATGTTCCTTTAGTATATCTATGTACCAATCTGTCAATAAACCAATTTCTCATCATTTATGAACAGGATTTATCATGATCCACACGACCAGATATCATCAGGACAACCGCGCCAATAGAGATGACAATCAGTATTCTGGCGAGGCACTGCAGTAGCGGAGTCTTATTTTTCCATGGTGCAAAATCCCCAAAATTGCGAACACCCATATCTTAAACATTAGTATATGAAGAAATGGGAAACCACTTCATCACATGCATTGTACTGTACATATATAACAATATTTCAGCAAAACAAATAACAGTATGAATTCCACTAATAAAGGTAAAAGCACATTCGCATCGGCCTTTTATATCTGTTGTTATATAGCAGTAGGTGCAATACATTATACCGTGAACAACTGCAATAAAGTTTATATGATAAAAACACGTGCATTTTTCACCGTGAGCTGACCCCGATTCTCCCGTCCCCGGTGAACAAACTGCCGCATGAGGCGTGATAAATCACACCTGCTACGATAACTCTGTTTGTAACGGCCTGGTACACCACGGCAGGATGCAAATACAATATGCTACTGTGAAACGGGGCGTACTTTGAAAAGACGTGCCATCTTAGAAATCAGTCTAACAAACTAACTAATAAAGCGGAAGGCATAGTAAAACAGGATGGTTTAAATAACTAGCTCCAGAGATGGGACACTGATATAGAAGAACTGTATGAGATCTTCATCTTATATTACTGATCTACGTAATGACTGTCTCCTTTACATTCGATTCCTGTCGGCGGGTTTAACAAATATCCGGTCTGTACAGTAATCAGGTCAGTCTAATGCCTGCTATTCATCGCGGAGATGCTTCAAGATTGACGTCTTACAATTCAACTTCTCTCGTGTCTCTGATTCTTCTTTTTATCCTGCATGTATTTTACAAGTAAACAATGTACCTTACATTCATTTAGAACAGCATTTCCACCTAGCTTTCCTCATTTGGTTTTTGTTTACGGCTCACATGACTTTGGGGTCAAAGAGTAATGTGAGTTTAGTGGCCCCAAGGGTGCCCATGTTTAGTTCAATTAAGATAAGAACTGATTTAAACATACAGTTTTATATGTCCATACAGTAGATAACACATGGTGTGAACGTATTGGCATTTTAGTTGAGGGATCAGTCAGAAAAGAGCGCATCTGTAGAGATAAAGTCAAAACGCACATTTTATGGTTCGGTACATACTATCTGGGCACCTTTTCTTTTGGTTCGGCTCAAAGAGACACATGCAATCTAGTATACTTTGGCCCTATCGCTCAAAGGTAAGTAACCTTAAGCTTGATACCAGCATTGACGTAACCAATTTACCTGTACACGACTACCTCTCATTGAATTCCTGTCGTCTTATAAATAACTTGAGGATAACTAGAACAGCTAAACACGAGAGAGTTGATGCCAACAGAAGATTTGAATACATTTTTGAATGTGACAACTATCACAATGCAAAAATAAGTGAAGTGAATGCACACAAAGCTGCTTTGTTATCGGGAAACATACTGAAATCCACGACCAGTCCCATTTGATTGTAGTAGTCTATCATAGGTGCTGTAATTTAGTTGTAATGGTGTTGTAAAGTAGAATTTTAAGATTCATTTTGATATTTCTATTTTGTAGTTTGCACTTGACTGTATGAAAGTCATCATACTTTATGTTGCGTCGATAAAGGTTCAATTCTATAGCTATAAAATGTCAAATTATAGGAGGAAACCAGTCCAGTGATGATCGAACTGCTGCCATCCATGAAGGTGGCATGGCCTGCAGATTGATTATCTTTCCGATTTGTCGCAGTGTTGGGACGGTGACGTGTGTCTGCGCCACGTTATCGGTTAAACCAAGCAGATGTTGGGGGAGGATGGATATCGTTACGTTTTTCTAGCTACCCCTTTCCTGACAAACTTGAACCTCCACAAATCCCCAACATGGTCTTTAAGTGGCACGGGCAGGGACAGTCTGCTCCCAGGAAGGCGGTTTGACACAAAAACGTGCAGCCTCCCCATCTCCCGTCGCCGTGTTGGAGAGGAGACGGTATGACGTGTGTTATCTTCCCGGCGTCACGCAGACTGGACCGGGCTCTGTCATCACGCGATCTCAACAACACCGTGGGGAGGGGAGGGGGGCTTTGGGGCAGTACACCTCGCTCAAGCGAGCTAGCTTATATTCTTGACTTTGTAGATATGGATTAACTTTAGCTACTTCTCTATATTTGTTCTTAACTTAGTGCAATTAGCACGTGTCGGGCATGAATACGCGATAAGTTCATTGTCATTGCCATTGTCAGTACATCAATGGTGCCACTGTACAAGAATATTATGCAAGGCGTGTAATAGGAAAAGGAATCAGGAATTGAAAGGGAGCATCTGATGTACAAAAATTGAGGTGGATAATTGAAATACCTGAATATAATATAATAAAGGCTTCTTTATCTTTGGTAAGTTGTATACTTTAAGACGAAACGGGTGGACCGGGGTGGATTTTTTTTCAAATACAAATGTTAAAACATAAAGAAACCGCATAACTATAGGTTGTACATAACCAAACAACATGGTAAACATAATAAAAACGCGTATCTTATGACATACTAAGAGAACAATAGGATCAAATCAGTTTGCAACGTTTTTCCTAGATCCTAGCTTATCAGAATCATATGATGTGTAATAAATTCTCGGTGTCATTACTTACCTAAACTAGTCATTCCTTGGTTTGCTATTAATACTATTTACTATTTACCACCTCTATCTCGTTTTGAATTATTCTGGTTATGTCGATTAGTATTCCTTATGAATCTTTGTATTCCTCTAATCATGGTGTCTTATAAGCCTATATGGGCTGGTCGACTTGTTGCAAGACACAATAATTAACTATCATTCATCCATCCATTAAGGTCTTATCCATGGCAGTTGTTATTGCTCAGTTTTCTCGTGATCGATCACTTGGTATTCTGTGTCATTATTATTATGGTCGTTTATAGAAGTAAATGATTAAGTGATTCGGTGAAGGTTCTCTTACCCAGGGTACTCTGCACCGTCCGTCGGTAACGTCTTCTCCTTCGCACTCCGTCAACCCTCCGGGATCAGCACCACAGGCCTCTTCATAGAGTTGTGTTTCTTCTTCAACTTGCTCATCAGGCACTTGTGTATGGAGATGGAAGCCCTTGTCGTCTGCGAAGACTGTGAGTTCTTCTTCTTCTTGTTCCAGAGTTGTGAGTGTTGTAGAGTCGTCTGCAAAGTCCGAAGTTGAGGCGTCAGAAATCGACCTTTGCTTGTCTCTGTCGTGAAGTTTTCTGAAGAGTGGTCTCGGGTCGCTGGCGACTTTCCTCGGGAACCCTGACTCCGACTCAAACCCGATCGTGCCGTCCTGTTCTAACGAGTCTGGAGAGGTGATCGACCCGCTGTCGGAGAGGTTTAAATCTGACTTATCTCCGACGTTAGTAAAGAGAGACGTTGTAGAACTGTGAGTGACGACATCTGTGTCGGAACCTTCGGAAGACTTGTCTCCACCGACGTTCCTGAAGACTGCCTGAGAGGTTTGGAAGTGGCTCCTCTTTGGGGACGAGCTGGGATGGGGTCTACCTATACTGGCAATGGTCGCGCCGCCGTCAGCTCCCGATCCTGTAGATTCCGTGTCAGAAACGGCAGAACTGTCCCTGACGGTTCGAAATAAGGAGGACGTCGACGAGTAAACTGTAGAGCCTCGGCCTGACGTGGTCGACTCCTCCGTGGCGGACGAGACGGGCCTCTGCCCTACCGTGGTAAAAACGGCTTGCGACGTCTTCACGAGTTTCTTGCGAGGAGACTCGGAGGGGTTGGAGCCCAGGAGAGACGCCACGTTTTCTCCATTGGCTACGTCGGTGACCGTGCTGGAACCTGAAGGATTCTCCACAGTGGTGAAGACGGCCGCGGAAGCCCTGAGGAATTTTCTAGAGGGGGATCCCTGTGTGCTCTCCCTCCCCCTATCCGGCTGTCTGCCATGTGTGGTAGAGATGGAGTCCCTGAGATACGATTTGTCGCCGACGTTCAAAAAGATGGGGTTGCTCCGCGGTACCTTCCCTCCCCATCTCCTCTTCAATCCCTCGATGTCGAGCGATTTGCTGTCGTAAGCGCCCTGGATGGTGTAGAAGAACACGTTGGGTCGGCCCGTGGTCCAGGCGGCCCTGCCCGTCCTCTCTATGTGTTGAAACAGCGGCTCCGACTCGCTCCTGGATTCCGCCATGTTGTTTTTTGGGAGTGCTCCCTCCCCCCACAGCAGTTACCGCACGTGCCACTATGGCGACAGGGTCGCTACGTCTGATCGGGAGCCATCATTTCTCCCCGAGTCAGCGCCCCGGACAAAAATACATGGAGCTGCGCGGTGAACTCTGCACGCGCTTTCCAATACTAAACATACCGGGCTCATTACCATTCACAGACCTCAGGTGCAGTACAGACGGCACACCCGCACAGCTGCCGAAAAACCCATTTTAACTCATTTGTGAGTCATTTTTCTCAGTTTTACCGCGGCTTTGATTTGAAGTTTTTATTCCATAATTATACAATGATGTATAAGAGAATAAGACGTGACAGGCATGTGAACGCAGGGCAGGCGGGTCCCGGGGGACTAGAGTGGAGGCAAAACGCGGAGGAAAATCTCATTTCACGTGGAAGGGAGCCAGTCGCGCCGTAACGACCCCATGCAAATTCTAGACATAACCCAATTCACTCGGCGTTCAGTCGGATGATGTACTCGTCTGTTTGTCTGACGGAACAGGCGACGGTAAATCAGGGGAACGGTCCTGCCTAAAATTCAACCTATTTTGCGCCGGAGTGAAACCATTTCCCTTCCCCACCTGTCTCGTTAGCGCATAAAACAAACCCAGTCTAGGCCGGTCACAGGACTTGATTTCATCTGTCACAGCGATCAAATGCGATGGAAAGAGATAACTCTGCCCTTTCTCATATTGAATCTGCTAGCGTAATTCTTCAATGCTCCCTGAATTTGTCTCATCAATGACAAGTGACATTAATTTTTTTTTCAAGAATTGTTACACTGAATTGGGAAACTTGCCAACGAGAATTATTTTAAGCCCCAATTCAACACCAGGTCTCTATCATCTAATTCTGTCTTTGGCACTTAAACAAATTTATTATCGACCGCATAAGGCTCCCAGCTTGCTCCCTGCGCCACATGCCGTGCTGCGTGTATTTGCCTGAGTACCCTGGTCTGGCGACTACGGCATTATGGCTCCCCTGGGAACGAGAGGGAAGGAAATGCACCTGCTTCAGTAAAACGTCATTTCCGGTAATTCATTCAGCGTCATGGTCGTTTTTACGATTCCTCCTAACGTTACATGTAGACTAACGGTATCTTCAATAAATAATTGGGTGGCCGGGAGAACCAAAGGAAGAATTAATTTGCATGAATTTTGATTGATTGAGGGGGTACATGTATCTGTAACGTTAATGCTTCATCACATTTTTGGGCCTCTTCAGTGAAGAGCAGACCTTAAACCTTCCTTCGCGTATTTAGATGCATTTTGTTGTCATACACAAACTCTTGGTCAAAGTTACAAGGTAAGGAAGTAATGGTTTGATCTAAAACGTTAAATGTAAGCTGCATTGCTTATCACAAATGGAAGAAAATCCAGTATACAACTCAACAAAAGAATGTCTGATCGTGTGATTTGAGAATCTACTTACTGTGCAAAACTACCCACTACCTCCCATAATGCATATACACCTTGTAGGAAATTGAAAACACTGTCAGTGCCCAGATGTGCCAAGCATGTGGAAACAACTACAGAACAGAATCAAACCCACTGAAAACATGTCTAATACAGAGATAACAATCATCTTGAGCAGACATTACTCAACACAACAGTGGTTGTTCATACGCTTTATTCTCTCTTCTTCTTCCATGAAATACTCAGCAAGAAAACTGTCTGCATCTATTTAAATGACATAATTTACAGTGAGATGTCATGTAGAGGGTAGAGTTGTTTGAAGCCATCTTGGGAAAACCACTGGCTAGACAAAACATGTATGACATGATTCAATATAATCAAAAATAGTTCAACACAACTTTTCTTGCAAGTTCTACATTCAATTGGTTACATGTATGTGTGACCTCAACAAAGGTCAAGTTGATAGAATCATTTCCTGTGTCAAATTTTATCTCTTTCATCCCATATTTACACGCTATGCTCAGTCAAAACCAGGAGGAAAGAAATTCTGGATCACAAGTTTGTTCCACCCTTCACCGTGATATTCCTTCTAACTCAAAACAACCTGTTGACAATTTGCACAATTCTGTTAACTCTCTTTGTACAGCAATATCCTTAGTTCAAACAGATATTTAATTAAAGTGATGATGATAACAGGGATATGCCACTAGTCTCCTCTGCGCTGGTAAAGTAGACACCAGGGGATGCATGTGACTTAAGTGTTTTAAACAGGGCAAGCCCCTGTTTGACATGTAAGACATGGCCTCCCAACCGACTTCACACCTTGGTGGTCATCAACAAGGTCATAAATTGCTGGTGAGGTTGCTTACCAGTTAGAATGTGTCTGTACCAACCATCAGATTTAAAAAATCAAAGCCTGAAAAGTCATAATCTGCATGGATATGATTAGAGGAGCTACAATAGGACTTGGTTGGGGACTGGTTGGGAAGAAAATTTGTGAGAAGATATTTATATGTGTGACAAGTGCTCAAATTGAACACTGGATGGGTTTTGCTACAAAAGGCTGACAAAATGTACAAATGCCTACCTCTCCCACAAAGCTCTACCCATCTGTAGATCTACAACTACAGTAATTTGCCCCGGTCTGCAAGGGAACTTCTTCTCTAGCATCTCAGCTCTTCTTATATATATACAAACATGTGTGATACATTGGGTCCACTAGAGCCTCATCAAGCACATTACAGGTCTGTTGGATGGGGGGGGGGTAGAGATGGAAACACAAGAACTAGACTTCCACAAAAAAATCTGGTTTACATGAAAATTACTATCTGTTAAGGTTTTTTTTGTAAACCCTTATAGCGTGTCAACCCACTGCACTGTCTACAGGTAACACAATAAGGTGATAAATCACTACAATAACATTGCAGTATGTTTCTGTTTTTCTACATTAAATCTGTCTGAAGTACTCTACAAAGTCTGTACAGTTCAAAGTGTCTATAGAGATTTTTCATAGACGTCATATGAAAAGCCTGTATAGCATGGGTTATAGACAGAGGGGCTCTGTGTCTAGAAGGCGTTCTCGTAGGCCTGAACTTTGGCGATGATTCTCTCCAGCTGACGCCTGGCCTCACACATGGGGAAGTTCTGCATGTCATAGTACTGTGGTGCGATCTTTATCAACCTGAAATACAAGAAATTACAGGTGTAAGTATGATTTGTGCACTGTCTTCAGACTCACTCTCAGAGTAACGGAGGATTGATTCTCTCTTAGGTAAGGGTTCTACCTGGGTGTCCAACCTACATTCATAAACACAGGCATGAATACATCTGGATTTAGAGACCAGGAAAAAGTACTGAAATAATGTACAGAAAGTCCCCTCAATAAAGTGCATGTACTGAAAATTCTTGAGACAAAATGCTTCATTGAAAGTCATGATACAGGTATGTATCCATGCCCTACATAGAAATACTGAAGTACTGACCACTCTGGCTTGATGTCCGTGACTGTCCTGATGTAGTTCTTAGTGGTCAGTACAAACTCGTTGTACAGCACCCACTCCGGCTTGTGGTCCAGACAGGTGGACGGGTGCAGCTGCACCACCTGGTTGTCCTTCACTGTCAGGTAGTGACCGGTTCTCTCCAGGTGGGCAATCTGAACACAAAGGAAAGGTTTTTATGTTTAAACATATCATTACATTGTATCAAAACAAAAAAATGTAACGTCCTGTTTGACCTTCCTGTCAGTCTGTGGTTACACCATTTCTACCCTTACTTCCTGACACTCTACTGTATTCAAATAACTATGGACACACTAGCAAACAAACACGCCAAGAACAAATGGATGGATGGGAATGGGTGAATTGCATGGACTTTTCAAGGTGAATAAGTTGAATACAGGACATCAGAAGCTCCATGTACTGTGTACTGTGTACTATGTAAGGAGCATTAAAAGCTGACCTGCATGAAGAAGCCTGACACCAGGGCCTTGCGGATGTTGATGTAGTAGTCGCGAGATGTGAACTCCGTGCTGGTACGCCGCAGGTTGAAGCGTTCCATGATGCGGACCAGCTGCTGGCGTACGTTGTCCGCAGACTTGAGGGAGCGGAAGTTGATGAAGTTGTCGTAGCACCACTGGGTGTCTTCATGGTCTGTGGACAGACAAGGCACGTGAACAAGATGTAACAAGCCATTCCTAAAGTGCTTTAAGTAGAGAGACTTTCAAGTGTTTTTAGTAGATATGGCTGAATACAATGTGCCTCACAAGGCCTGACAAAAGTTTCAAAAATAATTTCCAAGAAAAAATCTTCTTGCTGATCATGTATTCAATGATACATAATCTATTGGAAAATGGCACCCTCCTTCTGGTCCTTTAAACATGCCCTTTTTCACTACTAGTACCTTACAAACATTTATTTGGAGTTTAGCTAATGAAAAGTGTTAATGTTTCCTCTGTGTAAAAGGCTTGGCCACAGGTGAGGCTGGCCATGTGAGTTACAACTGGAGGTGAAACATGCTTTAGGCACCTGCTTGAAACTGACAGCCATGGTAGGCTGAGCTGCAGTCTTGATTTGATGCCAAATTTGAGAATTTATTATGTTTTGGTGTACATGCAAAATGGCACCTTTCACATAACCTACAGTAACTAAAAATAAGAAATTGAAGATCTAGAAAATGACCTGGGACATATCTGGGACCTAACTACCTGTCAGGGCTCCCTATTGTGCCTAACATGTGGAAATAGCTATGAAACACAAGCAACCATAATGACTGGACTGAAAACAAAACCTCCATACACAGATGTAATAACTCACTCTGCTTGAAGGCATGGTAGACGTTGAGCAGAGTCAGGTGGTCTCCGTCGATGTGAGCGAACCTCATCTTGGCCTCGTCCGCGGCTTTCTTTGCCTCGTTGGGCCGCACAAAACACTGTGGGACTAAAACGTGTTGGTACCGGGCCAACATTTGCCCGCCAGATTAGTATTCACCTCACTGAACTGGAGGGGAGAGGATGGAGGGAGTGGGGGAGGGGGGGCAGGGACAACAGAAGTAGGGAATACAGACAGAAATATATCCTTTGTGATTGGAAAGCACACAGAATCTCTGAGATCATCCTTCTTTTTTAAATTTCTTTTGGTTGTTTTTCATAGAAATAAACAGATATGCACAGAATGGGCACAATGATAAAAAAATAACAAGAAACCAGAAATAAAGGACATGAAAAAGAGATTAAGAGATTAAATGTCATACATAGCATCCACTATCCTTCATCAGTGGTTGAGGTATTTTGTTCATGAACAATTTAAGGGATTCTTTTGGTGCATCTCTATTATGTCATTTTAGAATAAAAATCTTGGTTTCTGTTCAGTGCTTTCTAACACAAGTTCTTCTATGCTAATTCAAAAAGAGGGTTTTTCATGGAGGATTGAAATGGGTAGGTAAGAAGGAGATAAACTTAACAGTAGTTAAGTTAACATAAGTATGCAAAATGTGATTATCATTAAGTTTGTAAACCTTCATGCTATGAAATAGTGGGAAGTGTAGAAAAACAACAGAAGTATAGTTTCTTCTACATATATGCATATGACAAAAAGATTTAAGTCTGAAAATATTCCTTGCAAGTTGTAATGTTTACTCAAAAAACTTACACAAAGCACCATACTTGAGAAAATGCACATTTTGTGATAAAGAAGTTTGTTGAACGTCAGACAAATAAAAGCTACCCCCTCCCTCCCAACCCCCAGTGTCAGTTCAAGCCCCCTCAACAGGAATCCTTTCTAGCCAGACCCAGAAACAATTTTCCTTTGGAGAGAACCTGAACTGACGAGACTGCATCAAAGTAGCTGCCTGTTTGAAATCCTATAGGCATTTAAATAATGCACCAAATTTAGCATTTCTAAGTTGTTAAGAGGAATTTCTATTCCTAATACAGCATACAGGACAAACTTAGAGACCTTATGTCAATCTTCTAGTTTAACATGTTACAATTCAACAAATCCAAGAATGGAGAGATTCCTAGCCTTCTCGGTGAAAATAAGTAATATCTAAATATTTTGGCAATGGGCACAATGGAGGGGGAAACAAAACAGGTAAACTTTTTTGAGCACACATTCATGTATTGCTTTAGTAATTTGAATAAATAAATGCTTTGACAGAAACAAGCAGCAAACATGATGCAGTCGTGACTCGCGTGTCCACAGTACCTGATAGCATGGCTGTGACAGACAGGATCTCGTTTGAACAGTTGTGGTCACACGACGCGATGACCATCTTGGCGAGCTGAGGGTCCAGCGGGAACTCGGCCATCATGGAGCCCAGCTCGGTCAGCTCTCCGTCATCGTCCAGCGCTGCCAGATAGTTCAGGAGTTCCAACGCTCTCATCAGGGTCTCTGGGGCTGGTGGGAATACAACAGTGTGAGGAACAAAGACTACTGAGGTTAAAAATGATCAAGAAACACCTGTAATACCAGGGCACATGACCTTATTTTGCACAGAGAAATTATGTTGTTTATAACAACCTGTTTTTCCCCCAATCACTGCATTACAAACCATTTTGATTTTGTATGCCAGTTTCAGTAGACTTAAGTTACATCAAAGCTCACCAGGGGGATCCATGAAGTCAAAGTGTACCAGGTCGTCGATGCCCAGCTTCTTGAGCTGCAGCACGACAGAACCGAGGTTGGACCTGAGGATCTCGGGGTACGTCTGGTCCTGCATCTCCTGTTTGTACGCCTTCTCCGTGTACAGTCGGAAACACTTCCCTGGTCTCGTACGACCGGCGCGGCCGGCACGCTGAGCTGCACTCGCCTTACTGATGGCTGTTACCAGCAATGACTCCACCCGGATACGGGGGTTATACACCTGCAGCAGAATAGAGCAGCCAACATTCAGAACAACTACAGTCCTTTATAACCTCTTCTGAATTTCTTGTATTTATTACTGTGAATTTCTTACTGATTCTATGACTATTCCATTCACGCACTTGCAGTCCTTTAGTTCCTGAGTTTCTCCACTGTACCATTCACTTCCTACCTACAGGAAGACCATTTTGACCATCAATTCAACCTTCGTATTAGCCTGCTGTTACACCATTTCCCCCACACTTCCTGCTGAATTAAAATAACTACAGACACACAAGCAAACAAAGACCCGAAGAACAATACCTCCATGTAGGTTATGAATAAAATTAGTAGTGAAATACTGTAAATCCCAGGTCTAACCTTCTGTTTGGCGAAGCCTGGGTCGATCACGAACACCACACCGTCAATGGTGAGGGACGTCTCTGCAATGTTAGTAGACACCACGACCTTCCGTCCGATGGCCCCGTTAGGTTTGTTGGGTGGGGCAGACTCGAAGATTCGCTGCTGCAGGTTGGGTGGGAGGGTGGAGTAGAGAGGGATGACCTTCATCTCACCAACCTCCGGGCCAAGGTTATCCACTTCTCGTTTCATACGTTTACACGCCTCTTCAATTTCCTGTCAGAAAATGAAGTAAAAACAGTCTATTTTCAATGCACAATTTATGTAAATCTTGTGGGAATAGACTGTTACCAGCTACGCACATACTACTAATTGCTATAGCTGGTAGAGTAAATCCATGCACCCAAAGACCCATGTCAGAACGTCCCAAATCCGGGATAGTGATGAATCCCACCTAGACCTAGCAGCTCAGCAATGAATTGCAGGAATCTCTTTGTACTGACCTCTTGACCTGTGAGGAACAGTAGTATGTCTCCTTCTGTTTCCTCACACATGTGGATCTGTATAACAGTTCGTATGGCTGCCTCCAGGTAGTCTCTCTCAGGCTCAGGGGTGTAGAAAATCTCCACAGGATGTGTCCGGCCAGGGACACTCATGAGCGGAGCATTGTCAAAATAACCCTGGAACTTGCCTAGAGAGAAATGCAATGCATTGAGGTTTATTGGTGTTTTTCCACTTGTCTCTGTTCTAACAATCTAGTGTCTGACAGAGGAGAAGATACATACAATATCATCATTATTACAATATATTGATAATATAGAAACAGTTAATGTAAATCTCACAAATGCATACAGGATCTCATCTAATAAAGCTTCACAAGACCGACATGGAAATCAGGTCACACTGTAAAATCTGTGGGTCTAACTAAGATTTTCTCTATGGGCCTTGGAAACAGTCTTGCTGTTCCAGCCTGGCAGTGTCATGTCCCATACCTGCATCTAAAGTTGCACTCATGACCACAATCTTCAGGTCTCCCCTCTGTCTCACCACCTCCTTCAGCAGTCCCATCAGGATGTCTGTCGCCAGCGTACGTTCATGAGCCTCGTCCAGCAGGATCACCCCGTAACGCTCCAACAACGGGTCCGCCATGGCCTCACGCAGCAGCATACCGTCTGTCATGTACCTGTACAGGAGGGGGAGAAATTCTGTCATATTCATAAAATCCTACAAACTGGCGTTTTGGTCTCTTCTCTAATACATTACAGTCAACATGCATCTCATGCAATAATCAAGGCTAAATAAACTGCACAAGATCTACAGAATTTAGCTTGTCTTTCAATTTTTTCCTCAACTATAACCTAAATAATATTCTGAAATCTTACAAAATTGACTAACTTAAACCTTTTCCCAGCTGCCTAACCCCTTAACCAATAGAGCCTACTTCAGTTTGCTGATGGTTAAGACATAATACTTGCCAAGTACCTTTTCTTCATAAATTTAAAACTCTGACATGTTCAGAGCTGACAACAGAAGTCTTTTTGTCAAACGACAGACTTACTTGAGGATTGTCTTCGCACTGGAGCAGTCCTCGAACCTGATGGAGTAGCCGACCTCCTGTCCCAGGATCACGTCCATTTCATCCGCCACACGCTGCGCCACTGACATGGCCGCCACTCGACGCGGCTGGGTACAGGACACGCCTCGCTTTGGGTTGTATGCACGGACGTACTCCAAGCACCACTGGGGAACCTGGGAAAAGATGGGAAAGATACAACAGCACACGATGAGTGTACTTCTGGACATTACAAATATTTGGCTACAAACTGTGATTTGTACTAAATTGTAGACCAATAATTGTAATTTGCAGACAGAAAAATCCTACAGGTAACTCTGATCCCTGAACTGTGTGGTTTTCCCAGACCCCCTCAACCCCTCTCCCTTTATTTTTTGGGACAGCCCAATGGTGAACTTGAACCCTAACCTGTGTTGTTTTCCCAGACCCAGTCTCTCCCACCAGTACGATGATCTGCTGTCCTCTCATCATCTCCATGAACTTGTCCTTGTACTCCACCACGGGCAGCAGCATGCGTTTCTTCAGGATGTCGTGGAAGCGTGCCGTGTAGGGCATGCCTGTGAAGGGGTTGATGGTGGGGACGGTGTTTGGTTTGGGCATGCTGATCACAGAGTTGGAACTCTTGCTTCCACTCGAACTGTTGCTGTGGAGAGAGGAAGTCAAGTATGTTCATCTTTTTATTTTCAAACCAGTTAACTTGGACTGTTACAACCGATGGTGTCTAAAAGAAATAATGCTATTTGGCCTCTGAACAGTTTTATAGTATGTTCCATAGTGATACGTCCTAAAATTTGTTAGTAATGTTACTGGTGCTGGTAAAATTTGTATGGTGCTGGTAAATTTTCAATATCACTTGCACCAGTAGAAGAAACCATTTCAAACACTGGAAGCACATTAGAAGACTGATTCACTGGCATGCAGCCAAACTTGCATAACTGCATCTGGTTCCGATAAAATTGACTCGGTCCAGTTTATGATGCTTTTTGTTGTGCTCCTGTTAGTGTGTATGTTGGTCGTACTAACACTAACACAGTAACCAGCTACATGTGCAAGGAGCCTTGACTACACTTCCTGACTTCTATGATTTCTACTGGCGCTTGCCTGGCCAACAGAAGAGCCTGGTGCTTCAGACTATGTAGGTTGACCTTCCCAGCCGCTGAAGGTCGAGTATTTTACTGCTGCGCCGTCAGAAAAGAGTTTGACTGCGCGCCTTCACGAGCCATAATTTATTTCGTCACGAAAGCCTCCTCGAGGACTAGATTTTCAACTAACGGAGCTCTTTTTTCCATGCTTGTCACCTCACTAACTATACTGTCCTACAACTCACCTGTATCCTGAGTCTCTGTGCCTTTTACTGTGGGAGTCTCCCACATCTAGTCTGTGTCTTTTAGACATTTTATCCCGAATTTTGCGGACTGCGAGACGGCAAAATGAAAGAAGATGGCGCCGACCCGGCAAATTTTCTACCCCGGTCTCAGACGGTACGTAATTCCACAATGCTTTGCGCTGCGTGTTAAACCGCAGAGCATGACGGTCGGTTTTTGACGAGGTATGTCGTAGATTCAGGTTGACATGACGCACGTTTTTAAACGAGGTATCGCAGGTCGTTATTTACGGCGGTCAGCCACGGTGAAGAGCCACGCTGCCATTGGTCAGCTATGTAGGATGGTTCAGTGCGGTGTAGAATGGTGCCATTCTATTGGTTACCTTAGTTGAACGACGGAAACACTGTAGTTTCACCCATAGGTGACCTCGGCGATTTGTGCTGTCGGTTGTCCGGCTTTTAAGCCAGCTATACCTCGAAAGACCAGCGATACCTCCTTGTACAAGTAATATATGTACGGATGTTAGGTCTGGGGACAAGGTAAGACACTGTACAGGTTCGGCTCTTAGGTGTAGGGACAAGGAAAGAGCAGATTAAAGTTGTCCAAGCCGGGTAGAAGCTCTGCTCTAGTTTCGGCCGCTCTTCATGCTTCAATTGACTGTACAGGAAATGTATGCACGCACGTCTCTTAGGTCTACGAACCTGGTAAGGCACCGTACATGTGATATATGTACTTCTCTTAGATCTAGGGACCAGGTAAGGCACCGTACAGGTAATATATGCACGTCTCTTAGTTCTGCGGGCCAGGTAAGGCACTGTACAGGTAATATGTGCGTCTAGGATTCAGGTAAGGCACCGTACAGGTAATATATGCACGTCGCTTAGGTATAGGGAC